AAAGCTTTATGTCAAGAAACACATTTTTAATTTAGCTACATTTTTTAAAAAATCAAATAAAACTTGAAAAAATGTGCCACACCCCAAAGAGCGCTAGGCTAACAGCTGTGAAGACACTGTTGTGTATTTTCTCTTCATAAAAGCTTGTATATTTTACACCGACAGCTGAGCACACGTCCCTCAGAAACTGTCTCAGGGTCTCGTATTAAGATACAACAGTTACAAGTCGGAGTCGCTCAACATCTTTGCGTCACATAAATACATTTACAAAAATGTAGCCTTCAAAAAGTCCTATCAGTATCAAGCCGATCTTACACAGCTGTGACGTTGGAGATTAGTTGTCAAGTCTGCCTTGCTTGCCTATATGGAGTTACGTGGTAGATTTTGCTGCGAAGGCTGTGTTTAGACAACCATTCCCAGGTTAAACACCAACCAAAATAATGTGAACCATGTCAGGTTTGTGTAGTTTATGTCCGTTTCCAGTGTCCATCCATCTGTGCTTAATGTTAAATCAATTTGGGGAAAAATTAAGAAATAATTAGTTTGACAGCAGTTCATTTATCCTCATTATCTGTTGTTCTTTAACCCTTCCCTGGACTGCTCCTCAGGTAGTAATCCGTCAGGCTGTGTGCTACCTGAGGTTCAAGTTCCATACAAAAGCCCAGCTGTAACCATATCCACCCTCCTTGTTTGTTTTCTGTACGGTGGTTAATATTTTGTTCTGCCTGCATCTTAGTGACAGTACAGTCTGTACAGGGGAGACGGAACCGTTTGCTCTCTTTGTATCTCAACATTTGTTAACAGTTAGCAGTGGAAAAAAAACAAACGTATAATCTTTGAGAATTTAACTTTGGACGTCTGCTAATGGGATTAGCTCTAAAAGGAAACATCTTGAGAAGATGATGGACACAGGCAGGCCTAAACACAACAAGGTAACGTGTGTGTGGCTGTGGTCATGCTGCAGTTTAGTCCAATGGCATTAGATTTACTGAAACAAACTTCTCTTTTGTATAAATTATTTTTCCTTCGTCATGAAAAATATCCTTAATATCAGATAACTAAGGACACTACTGACCAATCAACACACAACACAACACACTCTTGTAAAATACAACACACTGTATGCTATTGTTTATTCTACATCGCCCCCTTTTGTTAAAAGCCTGCCATGCTGTCACATTCACAGCTATTGCCTCAAAACTTTACTGACGTTCATTTTAAACAACATAAATTAATTTGGTTTTTTTGTGACCCCTGCCTGCAGTAGCACCCTTCTGAGGAACCCGCCCCCCGCTTTGGGAACCACTGATCTAAGCTTATACTTGCAGATCCTTATTATACCTTGTCTTTTACTTCACTCGTTATGTCTGGCCCACACACACACACACACAGTGAGGTTTGACCTTACTTGGCTTCATTTTACCCTGAAGGTTTCTGAGGTTTTTATTGAGTAGATCTTAATCAATTTCTGGTGATGTTAATAGAGGAAGATGCCTGGTCAGCAGGATGCGCTGCCTCTGCAGTTAATGGCCGTGGGGAAGCCACTCAGGATCCGGTTTCATCATATTTTGCTGCTATAGTGCTGTACATCTGTGCCTGTTTTGCTTTCCTGTCCTCCCGCCCAGTGGGGGTTTCTGTTTTTTCACCGGGACGGCTCTGATGTTCTCTCTGCCCTGTGCAGCAGGTCCCATGGCCTTCAGCCGGCTTGTTGATTGTGTTCAGCTCGGGGATCCACTGCGTCCCACAACTCGATGTTTCATGGTCGTTGGAGTAAAGCACGGTTTTATGAGCAGGGTATATTAGCTCTGGCAGACTTAATGAGTCATATTTAAACAAATCTCTTGTGGCACGATAAACATCCCTTCTTTAGTGAGCCACACAGATTGAGCAGACATGTTCCTCTGGCTCCAAAAAGAAATTTCTTTTATGCAACAAATTTGCATGAATATGAGATTTGACTTCAGCAATTATTGGCCATAAGACATGCTGACTTTTAGAAGGAATGCATTACAAAGACAGGCAAAAAGAAACTCTTTGTATTTCTTACCTAGCCAACATGCTAATGTACATTTGAAGCTACAGCCCTTAGGTAACATCGTAGACAAACAAAACCATCACATCTCGTACTTTGAAGCCGTTAACTTTAACATACCTGTCTCTGTATGTGTTTCACAGTGGGGTTTTTTTTTTTTGGTTCTTTAAGGACTACTGGAGTATGTGGAAAAGGGGCCCCATGGTACAGACATTTGTGACTGTTACTCAGTAATCTGAGGACTATTTATCAGTGCTGGGTACTTTCTATCTGTGAGGGGCCACTTGTGTGACCATGCTGTGCAAGTTCTTCTTGTCAAGCAACACGTAGGAGCACAGCAGGACTGTCCACAACTACTTCACTCCTAGTTACCCCACATTCTTCTTTATTGTCGTGTTACTGGTAGATACTGCTACATAAAGTATGTTTAAATAAGTTCCCTCTTTTAATCCCGTCCGATCCTGTCCACCTGCAGTCTAGAAGGATAACTGAGTGGAAAGAGACGCCCCTCCGATGAGCTCCCATGTTTCCCAGTGTTGAATTAACATTCATTATTCACATGTCATCTGTCTTCCAATCAGTCGCCATCCATAATGTAAAGGTGTGCACACGGAGGTTAGACCGACACAGACAGACTGGATGATTAATAATGTTGAGGCAGAGACTGTCATTTAGGCCGCATGTTTAATCTCAACATAATGAGAGGTGCAGTACAACCAAGTACTGTGTCCTCGATCAGAGAAGGTAAAAACACACCATCAGAGCTGGGCTTTTCTTCTGGATTCTTAAGGTGAAATACACGTTTGAATATCCAGTTTTGTTTGTTTTGGGTTTTTTTTATTTACTTTGACCTGAAATCCATGATCGGATCACATGTCTCAAACTGGTGACCTGAAGGTCACAGTTCACTGTTGTCCGCTCCCGTGTGGTCTCACGCGATATTGCGTAGTTTAATTACGATTGCGACACATTACACATCACACGACTATGAGCAAACAGAGAGAGGCAGTCCATGGACTTGATGCCTGCACTGTCCTAGGAAAAAAAATTTGATCAAGTCTATTCGAAATTGGACACCCATTTGCAAATCTTAGTTTTGGACCCCAATAAATACATAAATTATTTTCAATTGTTACTCCAAAATTCTTTTACCAATCAGAAGTCTGATTTCTTTTTTTTTTTTAAGTTCACATCCATTATTGTTTTTCTAAAATAATTGTAACTTCTGGCATGACAAATTTCTTGTGCTGCCACATTGGTATGTCATGGCTGTCAGCCGTTTGAACAATGTTCACGTAATAGTTTTTCCAGCAGCTGCTGCTGAGTCATGCCGCCCTATTCCTGTGTGGTTCTCTGATGTACTCATCCAGGAGCTGAGTGCTGCTCCAGTCTCTATCAGTTGTTCCCTGTGCGTCTCTTAAATGAGACCTACAGTGATGCGTCTCTCTGAGCCTCCGTCTCTCCTGTCACAACTCTGTACAGTTGTTACCCTGCGCCGGGCCCCGTGATGGAGCATAATTGGACGGATTTGAGTCCCGATCTGACCCCTCTGACATTTGTGAGGGTGGTCTGATTTACAGCTGCACAAATTGGCCATCCACACAGTGGTATTTTGGTGTTTATAGACGAAGCTTGAATGTCAGCAAGTAGATTATAGTCCGTCTTAAATGTCAAACAGATTTGATATTTACAGCTAAAACAGCAGTGCAGGGAAATGGCTGACAGGTGTTTGGTGCTGGATTGGATCTTTTACATGATAGTAGTAACATAACATTTCAAATTCGTCAGTGTGTATTAGGATTAATGACAACAGTTAGTTGTTAGTTGTTCTGTTAGTGGTTCTTAACATAAATAGATCACAATTTGTCTAACTGTGCTGATGATTCACCACCTCTATTATGATGTAAATCAGCCTTCTGTGTTTTAATGGTTTTATCTCATTATAAGATGCAGTACACAGCAAATAAAAAACATCAGCTTACATTTGAAAGGATTGGCTACAGTATTTAAAAGTCAAGAACACAATGACATTTAATTTGAAAAACTAAATTTGATTTAAAGAAATAAGTAAAGCACAGTTAAACAACAACTAACAATAAGGAGGCAGAGACATTTGGTCTTGTTGGATCAGACGGGATATGGTTCCATTTGGAAATTTCAACCAATATTGGTCGGATACCGATCGAGGCCCTGTCGTTCACTCTGCATTACTCATTGTAAATATGGATGTTATGAATGAATGAAGACGCCCACCCACAGAATCTGTTGGTATTTGACTCCCGCGCCCACATGCACACAAAGTAACTTTTTGTATCTCAACCCACATGCACACAAAGTAACTTTTTCTATCTCACTTAAAAAAAAAAGAAGAGAAAATTAGTTTTAACTCAAGGCCGAGCTTCTTTGTGACGAGACCTTGAAAACATTTCAACACCTCCGTCAGAAGACTGTGACGGTGTCAGAATCTCTCACATTCCTGACACTGACAGAATGTTTCGCTGGCTCGTGTGTCTCATTCAACGCTTTGGTCTCTTTACAGAGAGAGAGAGAGAGAAAATGTTCGTGCTGTATTCGCGACCGAAGGCGGTGAGGTTTTACTGCAGTAATAATTTAGCTCTTCTCACGCCACGTTATTATCATCACAAATTATGAAGCACCAGGCCATTAACACTGGTGTAATAGCTGCAAAGAGTCATTTAAGAAGAGCTGTTGGTCCTTGTATGACCTTAGAGGTTCTAGATAAGTCTTAGTTGTTTTTTTTATCAAATAAAATTCCAAATCTCTTCCCTTTGAGCCCAGATCTTACATGTCTATAAAGGTTACTAAGACCGTTTTTCCCCAGAATTTGTGAAGCATCGTCTCTTATCCACAAGGCTTCTGAGTCAACAGCACACGCTGTTGTTGAGAGTCGTGGGGGTTTTTAAACTCGAAATCTGATGTGAGTTTTTGCTGTGTCCTTCTGAAACAGATCCAGTTTGCCGACCAGAAACAGGAGTTTAACAAGCGTCCCTCCAAGATTGGCCGTCGCTCTCTGTCCCGCTCCATCTCTCAGTCATCTACAGACAGCTACAGCTCAGGTAAACACAACACACACTTCTTCACACCCATTAAAAAAGCCATGGCTTTTTTCCAGACTCCACTTATAAAATGAAGACTATTCAATAATTTATTCAACCCCCAGATACCACATTTTTGACATTAAATAAAAATAAATAAATAAATAAAAGTGGCCAAGCACAGCTTGACAGTAATAACCACCTCCTGCCCTACCATCTCATTATGTCTCCAAGAGCATTAGTGATGAAGAACCTGATTTATTTTTTGCAAACACACACCAGTAGAGTCTGATTTATGCCTGGGAGTCATAATGAAGGGCAAAAAGTCCCCTTAAAAAAATCAACACAAACCCAAGAAGGCGAATTCAGTAAAATACAATGTCTGTTGTTCAACCGATGAATGTGAACAAAGCCGTCTTGTATTGGTCGAAATGATGCAACGAGAATTTGAAAAGAAACAAGACAAAAGAAAAGAAAAAAAAAAAAGAAACGCTGTAAGGTTCAATTAATTACGTTGTTAATTGAACTGTTTAAGGCTTTTGTGACGTTAACATTAGTCTGCATTGAAGTGTCAGCACTTTGACGGGATATTTTTGTCCACGCTGCCCACAATCTCTGTTCAACTGTTACCGGCAGTCAGCTGTCAGAAGGGATTCTGTCAAACACCCACAGTCTCACGTCGTTTCTGAACTCTCTCACTGCCCCCCCCCCCCAGCCCTTGTCTCCCCCTCCCCTGAACTCTCACTGCTGATGCCCTGTCTACTCGTATAAATCCTTCAGCAGAATCCTTATTATTTCCTTTGATGGTTCTCACGGCGGAGTGAACAAATTGTACTTTTCTGGAGAAAAATATCACACCAGGGACATTTGGCTTCTGAAAACATTTCAACATGTACTAATGGAGAACTTTTACAGTCGAAAAAACATATTTTAATCTAATAATTATTAATTATTAATAATATTCTAATCCTAAGAGGCCGGAACATTGTACTGCATTTATACAAACAGAAATAACCCATAAATCGGTGATCATCAATTGGTGGACAGGAACATAAGCACATGGAAATGATCCATCTTTAATAGATGGGTTCTTCTCAGAACACCTTGAAAGAAGGTAGAATTAGATCTAGTATGTGACTTTAAAGAGGGTTTTTGCCAAAATATAAAATTGTTTGGCCCAGTTTGACCAGTAGAGGCTCTGTAGTGGTTCTGATACTGCGCTCTAGTGCCACCCCGGACTTTGGTTCATTAATGAGCTTGTCGACGATTCCAAACCCACTGAAAATGTCACATTAACATATGAAGCTAGGAATAGAAATGGTGGCACGTTGCCAAGGTTTGGAAATGCTCCAAAGAGTCCGGACATAAGGACCTTGGAGAGAGCCTTATGTCCAGGCTCCTCGGCCCAAATGTCCAGGTCGTTTGGAGGCAAGTCAGAAAGCAACCTGGAACCTGGCCACGATATGAAAATCAGAGTATTACGTATTGAAAAAAGAGAATCTTAAAATAGATGGCTTTAACACGATGCTGTCTTAAAACACAATTGAAATGAAATGATCACCCAGGGAATTTCTATATGTCAAATATTCCAGTATTTATTTAACATTTCGTCTTATTTTGATTCCAAAACATGAAAGAATAATGCATTAGTCTGCAGGTAGAGTCACATGTTAAAATCCACACAGTTCTGATCAGTTACTTTTTCCCACACACTTTTGACTGAACCTCCACTATCCCAGTTCATACCCTCAACACCCATTAGATCAGTTTAGCCCACTTTATCCACGGGGTCTCTTCCTGTCAGTTTATATTTGAACCTTTCAAAATATTTTTTTTTTTTATAAACCTTGTAGTCAGGGATTATTATCAGTCCAAGCCTTTCTTCCTCCTGGCACAGTACAGCGTGTTCTAGAGCAAGAAGCCCGAGTTAAGTTGCGCAGGTTTTGTCCTCGCTCACTGACTCATGGTTGCGGCGGCTGCAGCAGCTGCTGGGCATAAGTGTTTACATCTCCGGAGGTGAGTCGGTGCTTTTCTGCGACAGGTTTCTCTTTGGTGTCTGCACCGTGTTTACCTTCAGCCGAGCTCCCTCGTGACTCCGCAGCTCTGCAGGAGGAAGGATGTTTCTCAGACGGCTTTCACATCAATTAACCCCAGCACTAAAAGAACATTGTGTTTGTCCTGGGACTTTTTTTCACTGAAAGTTCCAGGTCAAAGAGTTCGGTCAGAAAAATGTTCCCACCCATTTACTGATATAAGAATTCATTCAGATTTTGAGAAGGTGGGGGTATGTTCATGACTCCAACCCTGGGCACTTGGACATCGGTTTGACTTTTTATTTTTTATTGAAAATGGAAATAAACTATGTATTGTGAACCTTTATATGTGCGTTAATGAAATGTACCCGTGTGTTGCAGCGGCATCGTACACAGACAGCTCTGACGATGAGACATCTCCCCGAGACAAACAACAGAAGAACTCGAAGGGCAACGGAGACTTCTGCATCAAGAACATCAAACAGGCCGACTTTGGACGCAGGGAGATTGAGATTGCAGAGCAAGGTAAAAAAATATGCATATGTATGTATATATGTATATGTATATCTATATGTGTATATGTATATCTATATGTGTATATGTATATCTATATGTGTATATGTATATACAGTATGTATATATATGTGTATATATGTATGTATATATGTGTAAATATGCATATATGTATTTATATATGTATGTATATGTATATATGTATGTATATCTATATATGTATGTATATGGATATGTGTATATATGTATATGTATTTATATATGTATATATGTATTTATATATGTATGTATATATATAGGCTATAATATATAGGCTATATATAGAGAGAGTATTATTAGTATTATATTATGGCTATATAGAGAGAGAGTATTATTAGTATTATATTATACTTGTATTCTTATTTTTTTAATATTAATTAACATTTAGGAAATGCAAAAAGCTTCTTCTGAGTGTTCTTCATTCTATACCAGTGATCACCAACCAGTGGCCCAGAGGCCCAATCTGGCTCACCGCACCATCTAATCAGAAAACAATGTTAAACAAAAAAATGTGTTTTCTTTAATTTTTAATTTTTTTATTTTGAGTTCTGACCCCCAAGGTGTCTTGGTGACCCCCGGTATAAACTCAGACGTGATGCTTTCATTCATCAATATCTCTGTGGGTGACGTCTCATCTCTCTCTGCTCTTTTCCAGAGATGCCAGCTCTGATGGCACTCAGGAAACGTGCACAAGGGGAGAAACCCCTCGCCGGTGCCAAGGTGGTGGGCTGCACCCACATCACTGCCCAGACTGCTGTGAGTTGGAACGCACACACAGACCCAGCTGTGAACACAGTTTTACTTGAACTATAATCCAACCTTGAAACTCTCTCCTCTCTCTCTCTTCTGTCTCGACCTCAGGTGCTGATGGAGACTCTCTCAGCTTTAGGGGCTCAGTGCAGGTGGGCGGCCTGTAATATCTACTCCACCCAGAACGAAGTGGCAGCTGCCCTGGCAGAGGGAGGTGAGGCTCTCCAGAGATCTTTTGTGACTTCCCCTTCTTTTTTTTTTTTTTTTTTTTCATAAATGATATTTTCTGTCTCTTTAAGGTTTCAGCGTATTCGCATGGAAGGGGGAGTCGGAGGACGACTTCTGGTGGTGCATCGATCGCTGTGTTAATGTGGAGGGCTGGCAGCCAAACATGGTAACACACCTACAACACATGTTAAAAACTGCTTAAAAGTTTAAATTAAATGTTTTTCCCCCTTTTTTTTCAAGTTTTTGCTGAGGACAAGTACAAAGACCCAGTATTACGTACTGCAACCTTTTAAGATTAATATAAAATGGAATATTGATTTTGTTTAAAATGATGCTATTTTGAAAAAAAAAAGCACTTAGATAAATGGAAAATTCCAAAACCTTTTCCCAGTGTTTTCTGTCTTTAACTTTCCAGGCACGAAGGCTAATCTGGAATAGGTTTTGAGGTTTTTTCTCTGTACGTTTATTTTTATTTTTTTGTTTTGTTTTTTCTGCCAGATCCTGGATGACGGTGGAGACCTGACTCACTGGATTTATAAAAAATATCCCAACATGTTCAAAAAGATTAAAGGCATCGTCGAGGAGAGCGTCACTGGAGTCCACAGGTGAGATTTAGGATCCGAATGTTCTCTCCGGTTCTTTTTTTTTCTTCCCCTCTTCTTATAATTTCTGATTATCGTGGAAGCCATTAATATTCCAGAGCTTCTCTTTGTTTCTTAAACTACTTTCTAACACAAGCACGTAAACGCTCCTGCAAGTGTTTGATGTGACAACATCACCACCTAGTGGTCAATAATCGGTTAGACACGTTGGGATTACATAAACGCAGCATGGCGCAGTATAACATTTAAAATTCAAATAAATGCTAATAATAGATAAAAAAAACAATTGATGTGTAATAATTCTATTTTATTTTTTTATTACACAGGCTGTACCAACTGTCCAAAGCTGGAAAACTCTCTGTCCCGGCCATGAATGTCAACGACTCTGTGACCAAACAGAAGTTTGACAACCTCTACTGCTGCAGGGAGTCCATCTTAGACGGGTGAGACGTGCAGCCTACATTTCATACGTTATATCAAATATGAGGCCAGTAAAAATAAGCTTTATTTTGTTTTGTTTTTTTTTCTCAGTTTGAAGAGAACCACTGATGTCATGTTCGGTGGGAAGCAGGTGGTGGTGTGTGGATACGGAGAGGTAACGTTTCCATCTACTCCACACATTAAAACCCCTTCCACATGACTAAGTATGATGAAAAATGTTTTATTCTGTATATTGCCTGAACAGCAGGTTAATCTTAATACATTAACATTAACTCAGTTATCTCAGAAGCCTTTATTTATTTCTGTATATGTATTTTAATGTTGTATAAATATACATAAATAATTGCATTGAGCTCATTATAGATCTGTTCATTTATGACATAAAATTGTGAGCAAACGTAGATTTACTTGTCTTTTGATCCATATTATTTAATCTGCCTTATTTTCATGACTGGTTTGTTTATGGATTGTTAATCAAATGTAAAAAAAATGGTACAGATTACACGTTAATCTCATACTTGAAAAAAATGATGTTTTGAGCACAGGTAGATCACAAGTAATTAAATTAAGAATATATATATTTTAAAAGTATAATTATAAAAATAAAAATTATAACAAATAATTTAATGATACATTTAATTCTCTACTGTGTAATAGTGACCATATACTGTAAGAATTGAATCATATTGTATCACAGAGCTACATGGAATTAATCAGTGTCCCAAGTATATTTAGTTTATATGAAGAAATATATATTTACCTATTTAAATTTAGCCTGTTCATGTGAATAGTGGCAGGTGTAAGCACCTGTGCTTTTGAGCCTTTCCTCAATACCACACTCTAAGACTTTTTGGCATGTTATATAACATCATCTTTAGTCACATCTGCTCCATCTTCTCCTGCTCAGGTTGGGAAAGGCTGCTGTGCAGCCCTCAAAGCGATGGGCTCCATCGTCTACGTGACAGAGATCGACCCCATCTGTGCCCTGCAGGCCTGGTGAGACGACGCTCATTGAAAATGGAAATAAACTATGTATTGTGAACCTTTATATGTGCGTTAATGAAATGTACCCGTGTGTTGCAGCGGCATCGTACACAGACAGCTCTGACGATGAGACATCTCCCCGAGACAAACAACAGAAGAACTCGAAGGGCAACGGAGACTTCTGCATCAAGAACATCAAACAGGCCGACTTTGGACGCAGGGAGATTGAGATTGCAGAGCAAGGTAAAAAAATATGCATATGTATGTATATATGTATATGTATATCTATATGTGTATATGTATATCTATATGTGTATATGTATATCTATATGTGTATATGTATATCTATATGTGTATATGTATATCTATATGTGTATATGTATATCTATATGTGTATATGTATATCTATATGTGTATATGTATATACAGTATGTATATATATGTGTATATATGTATGTATATATGTGTAAATATGTATATATGTATTTATATATGTATATATGTATGTATGTATATGTATATATGTATGTATATCTATATATGTATGTATATGGATATGTGTATATATGTATATGTATTTATATATGTATGTATATATATAGGCTATATAGAGAGAGAGTATTATTAGTATTATATTATACTTGTATTCTTATTTTTTTAATATTAATTAACATTTAGGAAATGCAAAAAGCTTCTTCTGAGTGTTCTTCATTCTATACCAGTGATCACCAACCAGTGGCCCAGAGGCCCAATCTGGCTCACCGCACCATCTAATCAGAAAACAATGTTAAACAAAAAAATGTGTTTTCTTTAATTTTTAATTTTTTTATTTTGAGTTCTGACCCCCAAGGTGTCTTGGTGACCCCCGGTATAAACTCAGACGTGATGCTTTCATTCATCAATATCTCTGTGGGTGACGTCTCATCTCTCTCTGCTCTTTTCCAGAGATGCCAGCTCTGATGGCACTCAGGAAACGTGCACAAGGGGAGAAACCCCTCGCCGGTGCCAAGGTGGTGGGCTGCACCCACATCACTGCCCAGACTGCTGTGAGTTGGAACGCACACACAGACCCAGCTGTGAACACAGTTTTACTTGAACTATAATCCAACCTTGAAACTCTCTCCTCTCTCTCTCTCTTCTGTCTCGACCTCAGGTGCTGATGGAGACTCTCTCAGCTTTAGGGGCTCAGTGCAGGTGGGCGGCCTGTAATATCTACTCCACCCAGAACGAAGTGGCAGCTGCCCTGGCAGAGGGAGGTGAGGCTCTCCAGAGATCTTTTGTGACTTCCTCTACTTTTTTTTTTTTTTTTTTTTTCATAAATGATATTTTCTGTCTCTTTAAGGTTTCAGCGTATTCGCATGGAAGGGGGAGTCGGAGGACGACTTCTGGTGGTGCATCGATCGCTGTGTTAATGTGGAGGGCTGGCAGCCAAACATGGTAACACACCTACAACACATGTTAAAAACTGCTTAAAAGTTTAAATTAAATGTTTTTCCCCCTTTTTTTTCAAGTTTTTGCTGAGGACAAGTACAAAGACCCAGTATTACGTACTGCAACCTTTTAAGATTAATATAAAATGGAATATTGATTTTGTTTAAAATGATGCTATTTTGAAAAAAAAAAGCACTTAGATAAATGGAAAATTCCAAAACCTTTTCCCAGTGTTTTCTGTCTTTAACTTTCCAGGCACGAAGGCTAATCTGGAATAGGTTTTGAGGTTTTTTCTCTGTACGTTTATTTTTATTTTTTTGTTTTGTTTTTTCTGCCAGATCCTGGATGACGGTGGAGACCTGACTCACTGGATTTATAAAAAATATCCCAACATGTTCAAAAAGATTAAAGGCATCGTCGAGGAGAGCGTCACTGGAGTCCACAGGTGAGATTTAGGATCCGAATGTTCTCTCCGGTTCTTTTTTTTTCTTCCCCTCTTCTTATAATTTCTGATTATCGTGGAAGCCATTAATATTCCAGAGCTTCTCTTTGTTTCTTAAACTACTTTCTAACACAAGCACGTAAACGCTCCTGCAAGTGTTTGATGTGACAACATCACCACCTAGTGGTCAATAATCGGTTAGACACGTTGGGATTACATAAACGCAGCATGGCGCAGTATAACATTTAAAATTCAAATAAATGCTAATAATAGATAAAAAAAACAATTGATGTGTAATAATTCTATTTTATTTTTTTATTACACAGGCTGTACCAACTGTCCAAAGCTGGAAAACTCTCTGTCCCGGCCATGAATGTCAACGACTCTGTGACCAAACAGAAGTTTGACAACCTCTACTGCTGCAGGGAGTCCATCTTAGACGGGTGAGACGTGCAGCCTACATTTCATACGTTATATCAAATATGAGGCCAGTAAAAATAAGCTTTATTTTGTTTTGTTTTTTTTTCTCAGTTTGAAGAGAACCACTGATGTCATGTTTGGTGGGAAGCAGGTGGTGGTGTGTGGATACGGAGAGGTAACGTTTCCATCTACTCCACACATTAAAACCCCTTCCACATGACTAAGTATGATGAAAAATGTTTTATTCTGTATATTGCCTGAACAGCAGGTTAATCTTAATACATTAACATTAACTCAGTTATCTCAGAAGCCTTTATTTATTTCTGTATATGTATTTTAATGTTGTATAAATATACATAAATAATTGCATTGAGCTCATTATAGATCTGTTCATTTATGACATAAAATTGTGAGCAAACGTAGATTTACTTGTCTTTTGATCCATATTATTTAATCTGCCTTATTTTCATGACTGGTTTGTTTATGGATTGTTAATCAAATGTAAAAAATGGTACAGATTACACGTTAATCTCATACTTGAAAAAAATGATGTTTTGAGCACAGGTAGATCACAAGTAATTAAATTAAGAATATATATATTTTAAAAGTCTAAATAAAAAATGATGTTTTGAGTACAGGTAGATCACAAGTAATGAAATTAAGAATATATATATTTTAAAAGTATGATTATAAAAATAAAAATTATAACATAATTTAATAATACATTTAATTCTCTACTGTGTAATAGTGACCATATACTGTAAGAATTGAATCATATTGTATCACAGAGCTACATGGAATTAATCAGTGTCCCAAGTATATTTAGTTTATATGAGGAAATGTATATTTACCTATTTAAATTTAGCCTGTTCATGTGAATAGTGGCAGGTGTAAGCACCTGTGCTTTTGAGCCTTTCCTCAATACCACACTCTAAGACTTTTTGGCATGTTATATAACATCATCTTTAGTCACATCTGCTCCATCTTCTCCTGCTCAGGTTGGGAAAGGCTGCTGTGCAGCCCTCAAAGCGATGGGCTCCATCGTCTACGTGACAGAGATCGACCCCATCTGTGCCCTGCAGGCCTGG